TTTTGTTCATCCTACGAAAATATTTCTGTTTACCGAACCAAATTATTTTAATTTACCCAACTATATTTTTTTAAAAATTTGACCTAATCAAAATATTTAAATTCACTCAACTTGATTATATTAGTTCACCCAACCTAAATATTTCACCCTAACAAAATATTTTAGTTCATCCTAACACTTTTTTTTAGTTTATCCTACGAAAATATCTTATATCAACACACTTATTTTTATTTGGTTTAATCTAAAATTTTAACTTCACCCAACCGAAATATTTTACTTCACCCAGCCAAAATTTTAAAATTCAACCAACCTATTTTATTTGATCTTATCTTAAGATATTACTTTTTCTACCAAAATATGCTGATTAATCGAACGTTCATATTTTAATTTACTGAACCAGAAGTTGTGACCTCACCTTGTATTTTACCCAATCAAAATATTCGCGTTTACCCTACCTAAATATTTTAATTCATCCAATCTATATACTTAATTAGACTTTGTCTAAATATTTCAGTACAACTACTCTTAATATTTTAGTACACCTATTCTAAATAATTTAAGTTCACCTAATCTAAATATTTTAGATCACCTACTATAAATATTTCAGTTTACCTAACCTAAATATTTAAGTTCAATGTATCTAAATATTTTAGTTCACTTACTCTAAATATTTTAGTTCACCTAACCTAAATATTTTAGTTTACCTAACCTAAATATTTTAGTTTACCTAATCTAAATATTTTAGTTTACCTAATCTCAATATTTTAGTACACCTACACTAAATATTTTAGTACACCTACTCTAAATATTTTAGTTAACCTAATCTAAATATTTTAGTTTACATAACCTAAACATTTTAGTTCACTTACTCTAAATATTTTCGTTTACCTAACACGAATATTTTAGATAACCTAACCTAAATATTTTAGTTCACCTAACCTAAATATTTTAGTTTACCTAATCTCAATATTTTAGTACACCTAATCTAAATATTTTAGTACACCTAATCTAATCTAAATATTTTAGTTCACGTTATCTAAATATTTTAGTACACCTACTCTTAATACTTTAGTTTACCTAATCTAAATATTTTAGTTAACCTTATCTAAATATTTTAGTTTACATAACCTAACTATTTTAGTTCACCTACTCTAAATATTTTAGTTTACCTAATCTAAACATTTTAGTTCACCTAATCTAAACATTTTAGTTCACCTAATCTAAACATTTTAGTTCACCTAATCTAAATATTTTAGTTCATCTAATCTAAATATTTTAGTACACCTACACTAAATATTTTAGTTCACCTAATCTAAATATTTTAGTTAACCTAATCTAAACATTTTAGTTCACCTAATCTAAACATTTTAGTTCACCTAATCTAAACATTTTAGTTCACCTAATCTAAATATTTTAGTTCACCTTACCTAAATATTTTAGTACACCTACACTAAATATTTTAGTTCACCTAATCTAAATATTTTAGTTAACCTAATCTAAATATTTTATTTACATAACCTAAACATTTTAGTTCACTTACTCTAAATACTTTCGTTTACTGACACAAATATTTTAGATTACCTAACCTAAATATTTTAGTTCACCTAACATAAATATTTTCGTTTACCTAATCTCAATATTTTAGTACACCTAATCTAAATATTTTAGTTCACGTTATCTAAATATTTTAATACACCTACTCTTAATACTTAAGTTTACCTAACCTAAATATTTTAGTTTACCTAACCTAAATATTTTAGTTTACCTAACCTAAATATTTTAGTTTACCTAATCTAAATATTTTAGTTTACCTAACCTAAATATTTTAGTTTACCTAATCTAAATATTTTAGTTTACCTAATCTCAATATTTTAGTACACTTACACTAAATATTTTAGTACACCTACTCTAAATATTTTAGTTAACCTAATCTAAATATTTTAGTTTACATAACCTAAACATTTTAGTTCACTTACTCTAAATATTTTCGTTTACCTAACACGAATATTTTAGATTACCTAACCTAAATATTTTAGTTCACCTAACCTAAATATTTTAGTTTACCTAATCTCAATATTTTAGTACACCTAATCTAAATATTTTAGTTCACGTTATCTAAATATTTTAGTACACCTACTCTTAATACTTTAGTTTACCTAATCTAAATATTTTAGTTAACCTAATCTAAATATTTTAGTTTACATAACCTAACTATTTTAGTTCACGTTATCTAAATATTTTAGTACACCTACTCTTAATACTTTAGTTTACCTAATCTAAATATTTTAGTTCACCTAATCTAAATATTTTAGTTCACCTAATCTAAATATTTTAGTTCACCTAATCTAAATATCTTAGTTCATCTAATCTAAATATTTTAGTACACCTACTCTTAATATTTTAGTTCACCTAATCTAAATTTTTTAGTTAACCTAATCTAAATATTTTAGTTTACATAAACTAAACATTTTAGTTCACTTACTCTAAAAACTTTCGTTTACTGACACAAATATTTTAGATTACCTAACCTAAATATTTTAGTTCACCTAACATAAATATTTTAGTTTACCTAATCTCATTATTTTAGTACACCTAATCTAAATATTTTAGTTCACGTTATCTAAATATTTTAGTACACCTACTCTTAATACTTTAGTTTACCTAACCTAAATATTTTAGTTAACCTTATCTAAATATTTTAGTTTACATAACCTAAATATTTTAGTTCACATACTCTAAATAGTTTAGTTTACCTAGTCTAAACATTTTAGTTCACCTAATCTAAATATTTTAGTTCACCTATTCTAAATATTTTAGTTCACCTTATGTAAATATTTTAGTACACCTACTCTTAATATTTTAGTTAACCTAACCTAAATATTTTAGTACACCTATTCTAAATATTTTAGTTTACCCAATCTAAATATTTTAGTACACCTACTTTAAATATTTTCGTTTACCTAACCTAAATATTTTAGTTTACCTTACCTAAATATTTTAGTTCACCTAAGCTAAATGTTTTAGTTTACCTAACCTAAATATTTTAGTTAACATAACCTAAATATTTTAGTTTACCTAACATTAATATTTTAGCTCACCTAACCTAAATATCTTAGTTTATGTAATCTAAATATTTCAGCTCACCTAACCTAAATATTTTAGTTTACCTAACATAAATATTTTAGTTTACCTAACCTAAATATTTTAGTTCAACGTATCTAAATATTTTAGTTCACCTACTCTAAATATTTTAGTTTACTTAACCTAAATATTTTAGTACACCTACTCCTAATATATTAGTCCACCTACTCTAAATATGTTTGTTGACCTGATCTAAAGTGTTTAGTGCATATAATCTAAATACTGTAGTTCACGATAACTAAACTTTTTATTTGACCAAATCTGAATATTTTATTTGACATTATCTAATTATTCTTGTTCACCTGCTATAAATATTTTATTTAATATAATCTAAACAATTTTGTTCACATACTCAAACATTTTTATTTTACCTGATCTGAATATTTTATTTTAACTTATCTAGATCTAAATATTTTTTTGACCTAAGTTAAATATTTTAGTTCATCTAATCTAAATATTTTAGTTCATCTAATCTAAATATTTTAGTTCATCTAATCTAAATATTTTAGTTCAACTAATCTGAATATTTATTTTAACTTATTTGACCTAAACTGAATATGTTATTTGACCTAATCTAAATATTTTATTTGACCTCATCTAAATATTTTATTTGACCTCATCTAAATATTTTGTCTGAACTTAACTAAATTTTTTATTTGACCTAATCTTAATATTTTAGTTATCGTTATATTAATATTTTATCTGACCAATTCTAAAAAAAAATGTTTCACCAAATCTTAACTTTTTAGTTGACCTGATCTAAATTGTTTAGTGCCACTTTGCTGAATTTAGTTCACTATAATTTAAATTGTTTACTGTTTAAAATCTTATTTTAAATATCGTTTAACGAAAAAAAATATTCAAATGAAAAATTATTCAGATAGGTCTAAATACACTTTTTTAAAAAAAAAGATCATACTAAATTAAAAAAAAAAAGATCTTACTAAATTTTTTTAAAAATGTTTTAGATCAAACGAAATTTAAATTATTGTGTTCACTAAATGCTAATTATTTTTTTTTTAGATGTTACTCCATTTACGTTATTTGAGTTTAGTTTTGCATTTAAATTATTTTCGCCTAATTAATAAAAAATATGATTACAAGATTGCAGATATGCCTACATTGATCTATAGATAATATAATGAACCAAATCACAAAGTGAAATCCATCTTGAAGATGGTGTATTTTGTGGTGGTTGTAGTTTTAACTAACTAGGTCTATAGACTTGAAGATGGTGTATTTGGCAGATTATAGATTATCATCTAGCTAACTCCAGGTCAAGTCATCCAACAGACCCCAAGCCAAGTCATCCAAAACACTCCAGGTCAAGTCATCCAACACACTCCAGACCAAGTCATCCAACACACCCCAAGTCAAGTCATCAAACACACCCCAGACCAAGTCATCCAACACACCCCATGCCTAGTCATCCAACAGACCCCAGACCAAGTCATCCAACACACTCCAGGCCAAGTCATCCAACAGACCCCAGGCCAAGTCATCCAACACACTCCAGACCAAGTCATCCAACACACTCCAGACCAAGTCATCCAACACACCCCAGACCAAGTCATCCAACACACTCCAGGCCAAGTCATCCAACACACTCCAGACCAAGTCATCCAACACACCCCAAGTCAAGTAATCAAACACACCCCAGACCAAGTCATCCAACACACCCCAGGCCAAGTCAACTAGCAGGCAGATGTTTGACCTAGTCAGATCACTCTCCCCACTTGGTGGAGGATTCAAGGAAAACAAATCTGCATTAACCTCCCCCCTCCCCCTTCCCACCAAGCCTCATAGTGGATGGTGCAAAAAAAAAAAAAAAAAAAAAAAACAACCCAAAAACAACTTACTATCTTTGTTGTCTGGGGAAGTAAATGTTTCAAAATGTCACCACCCACTCTAGCACATCACGTGACTAATGGTCAGCCACAGTTCAGCCACTTAAACCTTGGTGAAAGTCGTCAGCAGTTCCTGGAAATGGTGTTAAAACATTTTACAAAAATATAAACATTATATATATATATATATATATATATATATATATATATATATATATATATATATATATATATATATATATATATAAACATTTTACAAAAATATAAACATTATATATATGTATATATATATATATATATATATATATATATATATATATATATATATATATATATATATATATATTACATTTAAACTATAAAAATATATTCAAATACATGTCTATAACTTTTGGTAGATATATATAAAAAAGCTCAATATATTTATATATATATGCCTATATATATATATATATATATATATATATATATATATATATATATATATATATATATATATATATATCATTATTTATATAGGTATAAACGTTTAGATGTAAAGGATAGTTAATGTGTAGCCAACGTGTGATAAAGAATAATCTGTAAAATGATTAGAATGTAAAGTTATGAAAAAAAATAATATCGTGCAGTCAATAATTTATGAAAATATTGTAATAAATAGGTAAACTCTGTTATTATTAAATATTTTAATAATGATAGGTACACTCAGTTATTTATGAAAACTTTTAATACTATAGGTACAGACAGTTATTTATTAAAGATTTTAATACAATAGCTAAGGCAGTTATTTATGAAATATTCAATACGAAAGGTACAGTCAATTGTTTATGAAAAAATTTAATACGATAAGTACAGTCAGTTATTTATTAAATATTTTATTTTTAATACGATAGTTACATGCAGCTATTTTTTTAAATATTTTAATACGATAGGTAGAGTCAGTTATTATGAAATATTTTTATACGAAAGGTACAGGCAGTTATTTATTAAATATTTTAATACGATAGGTACAGTCATTTATTTATAAAATATTTTAATAAAATATGTAGGCCTACATTCTGTTATGTATTCAATATTTTAATACGATAGGTACAGTCAGTTATTTATGAAATATTTCAAACGATAGGTACATGCAATTATTTATGAAATATTTTAAACGATAGCTACAGGCAGTTATTTATTAAATATTTTAATAAGGTTAGGTAGAGTCATTTATTATGAAATATTTTATACGATAGGTACACTCAGTTATTTATTAAATATTTTAATAAAATAGGTTCTCCTACACTGTTATTTATGAATTTTTTTTAACACGATAGGTACAGTCAGTTATTTATTAAATATTTTAATACGATAGGTACAGGCAGTTATTTATGAAATATTTTAATACGATAGGTACACTCAGTTATTTATGAAATATTTTAGTACGATATGTAGGCTACAGTCAATTAGTTAAGAAATATTTTAATAAAATAGGGAGGCCTTCACTCTATTATTTATTAAATATTTAATAAGGATAGGTACAGTTATTTATGAAATATATTAATTAGGTATATGGAGTTATTTATCAAATAAATTAATTTGATAGGTGGCCTTCATGCATTCATTTATGAAATATATTAATTAGGTATATGGAGTTATTTATCAAATAAATTAATTAGATAGGTAGCCTACATGCTTTCATTTATGAAATATATTAATTAGGTATATGGAGTTATTTATCAAATAAATTAATTTGATAGGTTGCCTTCATGCATTCATTTATGAAATATATTAATTAGGTATATGGAGTTATTTATCAAATAAATTAATTAGATAGGTAGCCTACATGCTTTCATTTATGAAATATATTAATTAGGTATATGGAGTTATTTATCAAATAAACTAATTAGATAGGTACATGCATTCATTTATGAAATATATTAATTAGATACGTACATGCAGTTGACGTCAGCCTATGTCGCCTTGGTCAGAGGATAACAAGGTGATTATGTCCAGCTGACTGCAAATAATGGTATGTTTCTGTGGTAATTATACAAGAAGATAGCCTGTAATGCTATTGTATCAAAAAGGTAAATATGACTCTCATAACTACATGTCTATAAATAACGTGTATGGCTCACTGCAATATCTGCACTAATATTTCTTGATATTTTTTTTCGAGCGATGATGCAAGTCCAGCTTAACAAAATAAGGTCATAATATATCTACTTTACTTATATATATATATATATATATATATATATATATATATATATATATATATATATATATATATATATATATATATATATATTTACATATACATATATACATATATACATATACATATATATATATATATATATATATATATATATATATATATATATATATATATATATATATATATGTGTGTGTGTGTGTGTGTGTAAGCTTAAAACTGAATCTTTGTCTCTTCTAAACAATGAATTTTGTTAAAATGTTCTTATTTATTGTTGAAATACGCCTTAATGTTCAATACAATGAGAAGAGAATGTTGTTGGTGTCTCTTTACGTGAGGCTAAAATAGACTTACCTAAGACAGAGACTTACCTAAGAGCAGACTTACCTAAGAGCAGACTTGAACGAGAAGATGTCTGACTCACACGGTAGATGGCAGCCACAGGCCACACGGCAGATGTGAGCAGGCCAGGCTCGCACGCGCGCTCAGCCTGCTCACGACCCTCGTATAGATCTGCTCCCCTCCGCCCACTCGCTGCCGGAGACAGAAACAACAACAACCTGTTTAGTTGTCTGCAACCTACTTGCAACAGTTCTTCAAAGTACTGTCCAATCAAAATGTCCAGGGAATCTATTTATGCCAACCAACGAGTTATTAGTTGTTTTTTTTTTAATTCGACGAAATTCTTGTTTGCTAAAGTAACACACAACCTTCAAATATAACTTATACTATGACTATAAAAAAAAAATTAAAATTTAAAAAATAAATAAATAAATAAAAAAGTAAAAAACACTACATCAGATAACTTTAAAAACTACAATTAAAAAAATTGAAATAGCAAAGCTGTAGGTTGAACTTCGGAAAACATACTGTATCCACACAGGAGTATGCCTTCATTTCAATGTATATTGTCCTATACATACACATACATGTATATGACCTGATGTATATTCATATATTATATATATATATATATTGCATAAAGATATGTACTTGTATTTCAAGTAGCGAATCAAAAATATTTTACCTAGCTTTACATATAATTTATATTAATTACAAATAAGAAATTTTTAAGACTTTTATATTTGATTTTTTGAGGTGAAAATACTATGTATGTGATCACATTAAGATACTTAAATGTTGACATTACATACTTAGCGTGGTCAAATAAATTAAATAAAATTGTCGTTGGCGGGGGTCGACATAATTTTACCGAGGATTTTTTTAAACTTTGAATAGTAAAACACGGTTTAAATTTAAGCAAAGTATTTTAAACATATTGTGTAGGGTTACACTCCCAAGCTCTGCTCCCCACCCACCCCACGCCTTGCCTCATCCTAGGCCCCTGCCCTACTCCACTCCATCCCAAACCCTGCTTCCACCCCAAGCGTTGCCCCTCCCCCCCCCCCCCCTCAGCACTGCTTCCACCACAAGTCCTGCCCCACCCTAAGACTTGCCCCCCCCCCCTATAGCAACACATCTTAAACACACCCTTGACCTGACCCCCCCCCCCATGTCACACTTGTTAACGTGTGCAACACCTTCCCCCACCCCAGGCATGTGGTGAGTTCAGGAGACGCCCCCCCCCCCCCATTTAACGAGTTTTCAACATTCAGGTACACATTTATAATTACGTCATTACATTTAACATATAGGCCTAATTTTAAACATGTTTTTTAGCTTCAAAATAAGCAGTATAAGATAAGCTTTTTAATTTCAGCAGATAAGCAATCTAATCTTACCATTTAAATTTGGCTTTTAAAGTTTTAACTTACGATAAATAATTGTGAAAGTAGCATGCCTAATTTGCCAATTATTTCAAAATTATATTTAAGCCTTAAAATTGTAACAATAATAATAATAATAAATAAATAAAATAATAAAATAATCTATAATAATAGTTTCGCTGTCTGTCTATCTATCTATCTATCTATCTGTCCTGACAAGAACGCTCTAGAGAAAAGACAAGCAATTTAAAAACATGCATAGTAATTCGAAAAACGAAGTATGACGTCGACATTTAGCGCACAGAGTAGAAAATAATCTCAAACCCAGAGAGTGCACACAGTTATATGACGTCATTGATTATCGAGTAAACATTCAATACAAAGGCAATTTGGTCTAATCTAAGTGGTTTGCGTGAAGAGTTTCTTGCATACAATTCTTCGGGTAGGGGCGAAGCCCCACCCCCCGCGTAAGAACGTCTGAGCCCCTCCCCCTCCCCAACTCAAAA